TGGATTTGAGATGTCTCATGCCATCTGTAAATGTGTTTCTTAAAGATAAAAGCTCCTCTTATGGAAGTTGTCCCAATACCATCATTATACCTCAGGAAAAAAATTTATGTCCTCCTTATGATCCAGTGTCCATTCAGGCTCATATTTCCTGTGGTTTCGAGGTTTGGGTTTTGTTTTACATTTGAATTTAGAACAGACAGACTATATACATTGCAGCTGACTATGAAATTTTCTCTTTCCTTCCTTGAACTACATGATTTAAAGCCGGGCATGGTGGTGCACGCCTTTAATCCCAGCACTCAGGAGGCGGAGGCAGAGGCAGGCGGATCTCTGTGAGTTCAAGGCCAGCCTGGTCTACATAGCGAGTTCCAGGCCAGCTGGGGCTACAAGGAAGACCCTTTCTCAAAAAAACCAAAAACAAACAAAAACTGGGTCAGGGACTTGGGAGATGGCAGCAGATAAAATGCTCACCATGCAAGAGTGAAGACAAAAGTTCAAATCCCTAGCAACCACATAAAAGCTGGTAGGCATGGCATCCCATGTCATCCTACCTGTATCCTAGCACTAAGGGAGTAGAAACAAGATCCCCAGAATAAACTGGCTAATTAGGATGTCAGCCGGCTTCTTCTACACACACGCATACACACAAGCATGTACACCTGCGCATACATATAAGTATGCCCACGTGCATGTACACGCACATATACATCACACACGTACACCAGGTATCTTGGGAAAGGTAACTTGAGATTAGACAGAAGTCCTGTTTCTCCCTCCAACAGCTTCCTGCCCATTTACTGGTAGCATCCATTGGTGGAGCTTGCCTCCGACAAAGGTTACTGTGGAGTTTGCCTAATAGTGAGCCTCTATTTCCTTCCTTCCTTCTATCCCTTTGATGTTAGCCTTTCTGAGGCAGGATCTATGTCACCCAAGCTGGTTCTCAACCCTCAATCTTCTCGAGTGCTAGGGTCACAGGGGCACCTCCACTACCACCAGATAATGATGTAGGGTGTCTGTGTGTATGTGTGTGTGTGTGTGTACACATGTTGCTAGGGTTCAAAACCAGGCTTCTGCACACACTATCACCAAAACCATACACCTGACCCATCCTCCTGCTTTTAGCTGGAATTCTGTAAGGAAAACTATCACTTCTGTGCTGCTCATTTAGTTAAGTCTGTCATTACAGATCCATGGATGTTTATTCTATGAGGGTTTTTTATTTTTATTTTTTACTTTTATGAGACAGGGTCTCATGTACTCTAGGCTGGCCTTAAATTCTCTGTGAGGAAAGGATCACCTTGAACTCGTGATCCTTCTGCCTCATAGATGCTGAGATTACAGATGCAGCAACACGCGCAGTTGCTCTAATTTGTTTTACACCTCTAATAAATAATAACTATCATTACTTATATTGTTGTTCATATGTTACCAGTCTCGGCTTCTTAAAACTTTTAAATTACTAGGGGCTGGAGAGATGGCTTCCTTTGACCTCCAAGGGCACTGCACGAATGAGTGCACTAACACACATGCAGACAATACACTTGTACACATAAAATAAAAAATAATAAAGTTGTAAGCTTTTAAATTATACAAATAAACCATTTGCTAGGGACTGGAGAGATGGCTCAGCAGTTAGGAGCACTGACTGCTCTTGCACAGAGCCTGGGTTCAGTTCCCAGAACCCACATGGTAACTAGTAACAGTCCTTGACTCCAGTTCCCAGGGGCTCTAATGCCCTCTTCTGACCTCCACAGACATTGTACAACATAAGTGTACTTATATACATGCAGACAAAACACTCATATACATAAAATAAACCAAAAATAAAATAAAAATAAACTTTTCTAAAAATTTCAGACCAAGTCTTTGGTCCATTCCAGAACTGGACCAAGTCCTCCTTCCTCCCTCATAAAGGGGACCTTTATTTCTGTGTTGAACAGAAGAGGCCCACACTGCCACTGTCCCCTGTAAGTCTCGGCACAGGTGGAGTGGGCTGGGAGGGCAGGCACTGTGGCAGCAGCTCGGATCTGTTGAGATATTTGTCCTTCCAGTGCCGTGGTGTCTGTCTGTCAGAGCAAGGGATGGAGACAGGTGAGGAGGAGTATAGTGAGTGGTGGGCAAGACAGATGGCCCAGCAGCCAGGGTCCATGCTTCTGGAGGCCATCTCCTCCTTACCTTATAGGAGCATACACGTTCACAGATGAAATGTCAGGGAACCAAGTGTGTATCAAACTTACTTGGCAGACTCCTGTATTTCCACTTCTGCCATCTCATCCTGTGTTCTCTGCTCCAGGGTCTCCTGTAGAATAGGACTGCCAGGGCAGGGTCAGACATCTTCCATGTGAACACATTGCTGAGCTGCCCTTTAGGGAGGGCCAACTGCTGCAGATGGATGTCTGCACAGAGGAGCCTCATCCCTCCAGGGCCTCACACTGGGATATTAAGTCTCTTAAATGTTGACCAGCTTGGTGAGTGGAGAGGAAACATTGCTTTCCTCTGCAGTCCTCCAGTTCTTGCCACATGGAGCATCTTTTGCTTGTGTGATTCTGTATTAATTCCCTCCTCACAGCAATGCACAATGACATAGTGTTTATGGGGTGGTGACCAAGCCCTCTGGCCTGAGTTTAGATCCTGGCTCTACACAAATCACCTGACCTTGCGTCCCTCTCTTCACCCTTATGATAAGGGTGATGTCAGTCCCTGCACCCTGGGTTTGTCACAACAGTGAATGGGCTAACATCTGTTAGGTGTTTAAAGTGGTTCCTCACGCATCCCAACAGCTATGTAAGCATTTGTAGACTGCTTTGCCAGGGACTTACACGGCTCTCTCCCATTTTTTTTCTCTTTTGCATTCTTTTTATTTACTTTTATTTGTGGGTGTGTGGGGTGTGGGTGTGTTATGTGTGTACATATACATGTGTACATGTGAATGTCAGAGACAAAACTCAGGGCCTCCCTCATGTTAGGCAAGTGCTTTACCACTGAGCTACATCCCTGCCTAGCTTTTCTCTTGTGAGAGACTATTTCTTCTGTCAGATACTAGTTCTGACTGTGAAATGCATTGTGGGTTTCTTGTCTCCCAGTCTGGGACTTTTTTAAAAATCTTTTTTTTTTTTTTCCAGTTTCAATTAGCCTGTCAGTCTTTTTCTTTATCATTTTTCCTCTGGGTCTAGCTGAGAAATTCTTACCATGTATTCTTGTCAAGAAATTCTAAACTTGAGCCCGATTGAAAAACACTAACGATTTATCGGGAATACAGGCGACAGAAGACTGTGACAAGGACTACAGGCAAAAGTGTGACAAACATTGTCTCAGTCTCACCCCTCCTCCTTTCTGTGTATGTAGCACTCTAGAAGAACTCCAGACTTCAATACTGTCTAAGCTCTCTTCGTGTCCTTCCCCAAGCTGCCCCCAAAGTTAGCATCTGTTCCTACAATTGAATTGTCAGGCAGGAGAGGAACATTGGTAGGGTACTGCTCCCACACTGTACACCTAATCTAGATGTCTCTCATTTCCCCTTCTGTTCTTTTGATTCTAGAACTCCACACTGCCTTTAGTTGCTGTCCCTGTCTCCTTCAATCTCTGGCACTTTAGACGCTCTGGTCAGTCACTGTGTAGAGCATCTCTCCATGTGGGTCCGTCTCATGTTTTCTCCTAAGTGAACCGAAGTCCCATGTCCATGGTGCATCCTGTTGGGGCCATGTTGACTCAGCACCTGCTGCCTCCCTCTTCCTTCCTTGGTTTTCTGAGCCGTGGCCAACACCTGGCCAGGACTGGAATTGGGAGAGAGTCCTACTGGTAGCCTTCCAGATCCACAATGTCTTGGCTTTTTAGGAAATCTAATTAGGTGCCAAAAGAAAAAAGTTGGGATTCTAAGGCCATTTCCTAAGTGGGAAAAATACAGGTCTGTCGAGCTCAGTCCTCTTCTAGCCTGGATCATGCAGCAGTAAGTGAGGTGCTGAGATGATCACGTGGTGAGGGACTTGTGCAGAGTACAAGGGCACAGTTCTTTCCCAGAGTCACTTTTAACCCCTTTATTGAGATGCATTCTATACTACACACCCAGCTGAAAGTGTACAGTTCAATGATTTACATATTCACAAAGTTGTGTAATCAACATAATTTTAAAACATTTTCAATAAGAGAATAAAAAGAAATCTTCAGCTGTCATGTTTCACTCCCCCCCAAATCCTCCAGCCCTGTGCAACCTCTAATCTATTTTCTGTCTCTAGACCTGCCTATTCTGGACATTTCTTGAAATAGAATCTTAATGTGTAGTCTTCGGGAATTGGTTCCTTTGACTCAGCACAAGATCTTTTAAAGTCTGTCCATACTGTAACACCATCCTTTTTATTGCTGGGTAATATTTCATTTTGTTTATTCAGGAGTAGACATCTGAGCTTGTCTTGTCCATGCTTTGTTGATAGGTAACTGCAGTTGCATAAAATGCAGCTTTCATGGGGAACAGGTTCACATTTCTCTTGGTATAGGCATAGGAGCAGAATGGCTGCGTCATGTGGTAACTGTTAACATCTGAGGATCTGCCAGGGTGTTTCACAATACCATTTTACATTCAGGCTATCAGTGTATACAGAGCTCTATCTGCATATCCTTACCAACACTTACCATTTTCTTTCCTTTTCACTTTAGCCATCCTAGTGGGTATGAACTGGTGTCTCATTGTGGTCCTGATTTGCATTTCCTGGTGACTAAGGATATTAAATAACCCAGGCAGCCCTTGACCTTGGGCCAGTAGGCCCTTCTGAAATCACCCAGCTGTGTTCAGCATGGTGTCCCCTCTTATAAGTGCCTTGTCCTGGGCACATTATCCCAGAAGCTCTGAGGAGTACTAAGCACTGGGTCCTCGGGTTCCTTTTCCAGAGCATGTATCAAGGTGTGAAGGCTGGAGAGGATAGGCTTGGGTGTTCCATAACCAGGATCTTGTTTATTCAAATGACCGAACAGGATTCTATGTCACCTTGTTTCTCTTCCTCTTCCAGGAGGTCCAGATGGATCCTGTGACTCCAGCTTTGGGAGTGGTATCAACGTCTTTGCTGCAGCCAGGTAAGTGGTTGAGGAAAGCCAGCAGCTGGGTTTTCGTGGATTCAAGAGATTGCAGCAAAGGTCAAACTGTTTGAGGGGACACCTGGTACACAAAGAAGGTGCTTGATCTGAAGGAAGGAGCCTAGTCTGCCGTGTTCCTATGACAGACAGCCCTGGGGAGGGGTGAGGAGCTGCTAGAGGGCAGGAAATGCACATTTTAAGTGCCTGGCCCATATGTGATGATGGCATGATGCTACGGGTGCCACAGGTTGATTTCACCCAGCACCTTTTGCTTATGGGACAAGACTGACTAGGTGGGAAGGTGCGGAGGTCCAGACAGGCTTAGCAGTCAGAATTGAAGACTGGTAGATCCAGGTCCGGCATCAAGAGCTTTCCTTCCTGTCTCCCAGGATGGCTGTCATAGCTCAGCCTTCCACAGGGGGGCAGTGAAGGCCAGGGAACAAAGTCATCCCCTGCCTTGCCAGCCCCCTCCAAACTCTCCCAAGGTGATGGGCTCTCCTAGGGAGAGAACTGTCCCTGTTCTGTCCTGGGCTGCGTTTCTGGACCTGCTCCCTATTGCTGTATCGTTGGAGGATCAGCACCTGTGTGACTGAAGTGGATGGCAGTTCTCTTGCAGTGGATTTCTTCCTCTGTCCTTGACACTGAACCTGAGCCTAGGGAGCCAACTAGTCACTCATGAAGAGAAAATGTACACTCAGCCCCAGAAGGCTCTTTTTCCCAGACCCTTGAGGGTTTTTCCCTTTGTATCGTTTTTGATACAGTCCTATCCCTAAGGAACCAAGAATCTTTTCCAAGCCCACAAATACAGATTTCAGTAATGTGCACCCCGGGGCGCCTTCCCTGGTAAATTGCAGGTGGGCAGTTGCCTGTCAGCCACTCACTTTGACTCTCTTGTTGAACATTTCCAGAGCATCTGCCTGGGCTCATCCCTGCAGGTTCCAAGGTAAAGAGTCAGCCTATAATGTGACCCTGATTTTGACATACTTTAATGGGAGACAAAGAAATAGCAAATTTCTGGAAAGGGGAGGTGTGATGTTGTAGGGGCAGTACTTAGCTGTCACACTACAGGGGATAAGCCACAGTGGTGCCCGAGTTGAGGCACTGAGTGCAATGACTGAGAACACGGTTCATGACAGTGAACTGAGAATGTGCTCCTGAGACCCAGGCCATGCTGCATCCTGTGTCAGATCATTTAGATTTTGCTTAACTTTGATCCCAGGGTCTACAGCACCATTCTATCTATTATAGAGATGAGGAAGGGTGGGTTCACTGGTACAGAAGGGGGCTGCTCTGTACAGAATGGACTTAGAGGGGACTGAGTGGGCACAGGTGGGCTGAGGAGCCACCCTGGTGAGATGGGGCGTGGCTCAAACTGAGGAGGTGGCAGCATAGGGATGCCGAAAGGTGGCCTGAAGGCTTTGCTCATGGATGGGATGGAGCAGAGAAGAGAGAAATGGGAAGGGAAGCTCTAGAGGTTTAGCTTGAGCCAAATCTGGGTATCCTGATGCATTTCTAAGCCAGGCTGAAAGAGCAGATATGACTGGGAAAGTCCAGAACTGGGCTCCAGAAGGCTCTAGGCACCCTGGGCAAGGAAGAAGCTGGTGTGAATTCTGGGTGGTAGAACTCAAGGCTAGAGTTCTTGGCAGAGATGTAGGAAGTACGTGAATCCTCTAGAGGGCTCAGCCTGGAGGCTGTGGAAGCCAGTATTGTAAGTAGAAGTGCCAGGATCAGTTAGGAGACTCGGGAGCTCCTGCTCTAGCCAAAAAGACTGCTGTAGACTTGGCACTATAATCTGGGCTGTGGAGACTGTCACGCTTCAGGGGAGTAACAGTGGGATGAAGGAGGACACAGAGACAGGGCGTGACTAATGGCCTGCAGAGGTGGCATGACCTTGGTACTGTGTGTAGCTACCCCACTTGTCGCTTAGAAGTCTGTGTTCTGCTGGGCAGGTCTGCAGAGACTTCACTTCCTGTGCTCAGGGCACAAACCATCTAGCTGGAACCAGGTTTAGTTTCTACCTGTCACTCAGGAGCCGATGCTGAAGCCTACCCTTTGAAAATACAAAACACAAAAAGATTATCCAGCACTGTTCACCGGTACAGAAGAGTCGTTCTTGGGGCAGTCACATAGGTTATGAGACTAGAGCCAGGGGCCCACAACCTACAGCCCACTTTATCCAGTGATACAGAGTTCCCCCATCCAACAGATGGCATCATCTAGGGTGACACAAAACAGCCCACCCTGCCATCTTCCAGAAGGTTTGCTTACCAGACACTACCAGAATGACCAGCCAAGAGAAGTGGCTAGAAGGAGGAGTCCAGGGTGGAAGGTGTCCTGCCTGACAGAAAACTGTAGCACCAGCCCTTTGGCGAGTTGGATAAAAGTCAGCCATGCCAGGCATGGTGGCGCACGCCTTTAATCCCAGCACTCGGGAGGCAGAGGCAGGTGGATCTCTGTGAGTTCAAGGGCAGCTGGGGCTACAGAGAGACACTGTCTCAAAAAGACCAAAAAAAAAAAAGTCAGCCATGAACCCCTTTTCTAGAAAAATATACATCCACACAAGATTCTGAATCTGTTACCAGGAGATCAGGAATCATTTCAAACAGCAATCATTGTACCCCAGACTGGAAAAATATTCATCACTTGGACCAAAACACTGGAAGACCACAGATGCCTTCCTCTCCCTATGTCCCCTCTGGAGCCCAGGCTCAGCCACCAGGAGAGCCGCTGAGGAAGCAGGCTGACAGCTCACTGATGGCTGGATGGACAGTCACAGTAGCACCAGTTAGAGGAGTCCATGTTCCTCCATCTGCCAGTGCAGGAGGTTTGTGGAAACTTAAAAACTGGCTTTGGGGAGAGGTGAGAAGCCAAGACACCAGAATAGAAGAAGCATGTTGAAAGCTGAGGCAAGAGCATGTCTGCACAGAAGCTCACCTTCCTCTGGAGAGTGCTCAGTGGTGGAGACAAGGACCCAGTTAACATCCTTCCTGCCATGTGTGCAAACTGGGGGTGATAACGGTACCAACCCCATAGAGAAATGGGATGTAAATGAGTTCAAGTGTGTGAAGAGCCTGGAACAGTGCCTGGTATACAGAAGCACTTTGTCACACTTAGCTACACTGATTATCACAAGAACTTCCTCCTTATCCCCTTCATCAAATGAGGGGACAGGACAGAGAGGTTAAGTTCTTGCTGAAAACTACCCAGCTAATTAGTGACAAAGTAAAAATCCAAGCTAAGTCTATCTGGCTCCAGATCACCAGTGCTTAGTTTTATGAGTGGTTAGAGAGTTCCAGAAGAGTTACCCGTTGGCCTCTCTGACTCATTTTGGCAGATTCTCAGACAGGTGTCACTGTACAAACAGACTTCCCTCTGGCACCCAGGGCCTTGCCAAGGGCCATCTGTCATCAGGGACATTCAAGACTATTCCCTGGGGTAGCTGACCACCCTGTACCAAAACCAGCAGAAAGATCTCTTTCAGCATCTGCTGATTGAAAAGAGTATCTAATGACCTGGCGTCTCTAAAAAGGGAACGTTGAATTCATATGCTATTTTTAGATTTACCTTTCCTCCAGTTTGATTGGAACTGCAATGTGAGTACCATAAGGTGGCGCATACCTTAGGCCAGCCTGGCCTACATAGTGGATTCCAGGACAGCTGAGGCTACAGGGAGACCCTGTCTCAAAAAGACCAAAAAAAAAAAAAAAAAAAAAGAGTTAAACATTACAGAAATAAAGTGCTGTCTCTCAGAGAGAAACACTAGAACAGATTATTATTTTTTTCTCGGCATCAGAAGCATTATTGGGCAAGTCTATATTTTAATAGTCACAGCACATACGTGTAAGACACTGGTTATGAGATGCTTTATAAGAAAATGCTTCATGAAATGGGGTTTTGCAGGCACCTTGAAATACCTCAGAAACCCCAGGAGTGACTCGTCTAGACTTTTTGGAAGCAATCTAGAAACGTATTTTAAGCCGTGTGAGCGCTGTTCTGTTCATGATGGGTTAGCCGGGGCAGGGCAGAGAGTGCTGCATCTCAGATGTGGCCTGGTAGAAAGGAACTGAATACTTTGTGTAGCACACCCCTTCTGGGAAATGCCCAGGGTCCCAGAGCCCCAGCTTCGCCCAAGCATGGGCAGGTCTGCAGCACCCACCCAGCAGAGAGCTGCCTGCTCAAAGGCAGGTGGAATCCTGACCTTCCTTTCCCAGGCACTAAGATAATCATGTGGCTCTTCCCTTCATCTTCAGCTAGCCAAGGGAAGAGGACCCAGGAGGCTCTCTAGCTAAGAAAATGAGCTCCCAGCACCTGGCCTCATGGCCTACTGGGTCTTACACTGCCTCTGGACCTGGGTTTGCCCCTCTGTGGATTAGGCACGTGAACCATGGGGTCCCTTCCTTGAAGTCCTTGGTCCAGTGAGGCTGACCCTTGCTGCCAGCAGCCCCACATCTGAGAGATTTGGCTGCAGTCCACTTTGCTGTGGGGGAAATTGGAAAACATGAGCATACACAATGCTGCCAGTTCACACAGCGCCATCTGAAGGAGATGCCGCCATGGCTGGCCAGAAGCATCTCAGCACTGCAGTGAGTGAGAGCTCAGACTTTAGAGGGACCGTCCAACCTGGGTCCCATTTGGACTCAGCAAATGCCCCCCACAAATCTGCATCAGGCCTGTTTCTCCTGTGCAGCAGCTTCCAACAAGATAATATACGGCAAAAGTTATACAATAACCCTCTTTCCCCAACATCTGGGGCTGCCCTGTCTGCCAGAGAGGGCCTGGTACACACAGGGACCAGGAGAGCTGCTGCGGACTCTCCAGAGCCTCCAACCCTGCTAGGAAGCAGCACCCCACTGGAATCAAGCTGCTTGGATTTAAACTGCCACCTCCTGGCTGTGTAAACCTGGCCTGATCACTTAATATCTGTGTGCTTCAGTTCCCTCAGGTCCACAGTGGAAGTAACGTGATTTAGATCATAGGCTGCAGGAGGAAGGAAGTGAGGCTGAATGGTAAAGCCCTCCAGAGAGTCTTGGTCATTGTCCTATTCAGTGTAGCCATCATCCTGTCATCAGAGCAGTTACTCTTACTCCACTGGGCCTGCACTGGGGAGTGCAGACCTGGCCTTGGCACTGACCTCCTCTTCAGCAGCTCCAGGGCAGGGCTGTCACTATGTCAGTGTAATTGTGACTTCCCCAGGAAGTAAAAACAAGGCTTTCTCCCTCCAGGGGGTGGATCAGCTGAGGTATAGCAGTGGTCCGCCAAGCAATGGGTCCTCATGCCACCCTAGGCCACACCAGCTTAAGCACCCTGTGGCTTCTACTGGCCAAGGTCTCACTGAAGACGTGAGGGCACAGGGCCAGGAAAGAACATGTGTGATGAGGCAGCTGCCGTTCAGTATCCACCTGCATTGTGTAAGGCCCTGAGCTGTGGCAGGCATCTCCTCCACTGCTGAGACAGCTGCTCTAGTCATGAGATCTATAGCCAAGCCACAGGGATCACTCTGGAAGGAGCTCTGCAGGAGGCCAGCCAGGACGGAAAAAAACAAGACCTGGAGATGAGACAGGAAGTACTGGCCATCAGTGGAGGGAGATCGAGCACCTAGAAAATTGCAAGAAAAAAATGCAATAAGAAAACACTGAGGAAGCCCCAGCCAGGACTGCTGTGCTGACTACAGCAGCTCACCATAGCTGCTGAGCCCCTGGGCTGGGCCGTGCTGCTGACAGAAAAATGGGTGCTGGGTTTCAAAGAGAGAACATCCCATTAGTAACCTTTCTATTCACCTCATTGATGCATGTTGAAATGCTAATGTCTTGGATATATTGAATCAGTTCAAACTTAGGAAAGCTAGCCTTGACTGTTTTTCCTTTTCAATTGAAACATAGTGAACTGAGAATCCTATCTGCAGCTCACTGTGTGTTTCTGTTGGGTAGAGCAGGAGAGACTTAACAGGACACTGTCTCTGTCACCCTGGACCTGTCTGTCCTTTGCTGCCAAAGCATTGGGATGATTTAAAATGCGCAGAAGACACCAGGAACTCCTAGCCACATGACTCCTGGGAAATCATGGCGGCTGCCCTCCTCCCTTCAAAGGCTCTGTTCTGGGTTCTGTCACTGTGTCATGTGCCCAGATTTGCTGGTCCCCTGACGATGGACGTGCCCACTGTCAACCTAAAACAGGCACCAGGGGATCATCAAAGTGTATTAAACAGCAATTCTGCCTAACATTTACAGAGCTCAGAGTCGTGTCCGTTAGAAGGCGCAGAACATGAGCTTTAGAGAGGCTGCAGGAGAAGAGAGCACAGCCATCAAGTTCCTGGTACAGATGAATAATTGAGCAGCTTGGAAAGGCCATGAAAGACCATTTTGTACAGGTGGGCAGCAGAGCTGCCTGGCCGCAGTCCTCAGGGAACTGCTCTGACAAACACAGTCAGTATAATACGATGGCAGGAAGGAGCCCCCTGAACTCCTAAGGTTTCCTGCCCATGCTGTCCCCACCTTGAAAACCCAGCCTTTGCCAGAGCGCCAAGCTTTGGGCAGAGAGCTAGCTCAGTCTCTGACAACACTTGGCCTCCCCCAGGTTGCTTTAGCATGCCTTTTCTCATGAGTGGAGACCAGCAAAGCCTTTAGTCCACAGGAGCTCCAGACCTGACGAGCAAAAGCACATTCTGAACCATCTCAGATTCTCTCAGGCAGAGGCTGTGCCATCTCACCTCCAGTGCCAAAGAGCATTTCCATTTCAGAGGCAGCCCTCCTGCTCCTCTCAGGGCAAATCCTGTGCCAGGTGCCAAGGCAACAAGATGACAAGCCTGTTCTCACTTAGGTAGTGCCCTTCACTTGCCCGGCGCAGGGCCTTTAGGTACCAAGGGGTGTTTCCAGGCCTTCCCCTGTGCTATCTTGACATGGTAATTTGGCTTCAGCAAAGGGTTGGACTTGGTGCCCTGAGGATGCTAGACACCCAGGATGTTCAGCTCAGAGGTCTGTGGTGGGCCAGCTCCACCTGTGAGAGACCAATGCTGGGTACAGGAAGGTGGAGTAATTGGGAGTCCAGCCTGCTGACCCTGCATCCCCACGGGGGATGGCATAGCTATGCCCCAGATTCCTTTAGAGAGAGCTGAAGGAAGCAAAGGGAGAGAAGCAAGCCCTCCTTGTAGGCACCAGCCTGGGCTTAGCCAAGTGACCATCCTCTGCTTGGCCACCCACCATGCCCAGGTCAGTGAGATAGGAGCATGTGATTCTGAGTGTGCAGGCTCGGGGTGTTATGGCTCATGAGGAGAGAGCAATTCAAGTCTTCACTTCAATCTTGCCCACAGCACTGACAGGGCCCCAGTGACCCTACATCTGGATGGGATCGTGCAGGTCCTGAACTGCCACCTCAGTGACACAGCCATCGGGATGATGACCAGGATTGCTGTTCTCAAGTGGCTCTACCACCTCTACATCAAGACTCCCCGCAAGGTGAACTGGGCCCAGCCCCCCAGGAGGCCTTGCTTTGCCAGTGGTCATCTACCAGGGCCACTTTGTGTTTCCAAGGCCTGCCCACACTCTGGAGGGTTTGGGGTATAAGAAGCCGGGCATGGTGGCGCACACCTTTAATCCCAGCACTCAGGAGGCAGAGGCAGGCGGATCTCTGTGAGTTCAAGGCCAACCTGGTCTACATAGTGAGTTCCAGGACAGCTGGGGCTACAGGGAGACCCTGTCTCAAAAAGACCAAAAAATAAATAAATAACAGGCTGAAGAAACGCTAGCCAGCAGAGGAGAGGAATGGCAGATGCTGTGAAAAGCCTTGGAGTCAAGGGATGGGAAAGGTCATCTGTGTGGACCAGCAGGATGCTGTCTGTACCGAGCCCAATCCTAGTGCCAAGGAGCTCACAGGTACCCTCTTCTTTCCATTCTCTCCAGATGTTCCGGCACACAGACAGCCTCTTCCCTATCCTACTTCAGACGTTATCAGATGAGTCCGATGAGGTAGGTCCCCAACACCACCCTTCTTTATGAAACATCTGCTGTGTAACCTCCCTTTTTAGTGAGCTGGGGGCAGGGGTGGAGGGGCAGTGTCTTGCAGCTGAGATGTGCTTGTCAGGTTGATACTGTGACCTTAAACCAATGCTACAATTAGTGTTCTGGGTAAGGGTGCTTCAGTAGATCCTTCTGGAGCTCCTGGGATGGGACATGAGTTTACAGCTCTGCCTGACTTTTGTTTCCCTAGAAAGCAATTGGGAATGTGGCTTTGGGATCAGGCTTCCTGAGGACAAGGTCTGCTCCTGCCTTGCTGCCCGAACTGTGCGCCTCGGTTTCCTTCTTGGTCTGATGGGGACAGCAGCAGTAGCTGGTGTTTCGGAATTAAGTGACGCCTGTAAAATGGCTGTGCTCAGTTAACATTGGTTTTATTAACTTGTTTCAACTGCACTCCACTTTGGACACTGGCTTGCGTTGGTCCCAAAGCCTTGCCTTATTTATGTCATGGAGAGCTGCTGATGTGCAAGAGAGAGGCTGGCCTGGGTAGGGGCAGGGCGCCCTAGCTCATCATTTGCTGACCTCTGTGCTTGTCATCATCTGCCCCAAAGTCAGGGCAGGTGGTTCTTTGCAGGGCTCCTCTGCCTCCCATCCCTCCTCCACTCAAATCAGCTCTTCCAGCTCCATGTCAGACGCTGATGGACTGAACAATGACGTCAATGACGTCCCTCTTCTGGGCTCTTAAGTCACTGTGGACCATGGGTAGAGCTCCATGTAGCAGTGGGCACATGAATCAGCAGATCTGCCCACAGTGCCCATTAGGAACTTAGGCTTGGGTTAAGGACATTGCTCACATCTTCCTTGGAATGAGCAAAGTCGGTCTCCCCTGGGCTGGTTCCAGGCTAACTTGTGGCCCTGGGCAACTGCCCTGTGACTTGAATTTGCTTTCTTGAACCTGGGTTGATGAGAGAAGCCAGCAAGTGTCAGCCTCCTAGTCCTCTGAGGTTCTCTGCATTTCCAGAAAAACCCCGAACAGGTAGTCTATGTGTACCCTTGACCCCTCCTGCCCACATGTACCCTCTCATCTCTCCCTGTCTCCACTGTCTCACCTCACCCTCCCTCCCACCTCTGTGGTCCAAGACCCAGGTGGATTCATGGCCCAGTTCTGCCTAGAAGCTTGGAGTGACTCACCACAGAGCCAGGCACACAGTTCAGAACAAAAGAAAAGGGAGAACTCTGCTGATTGGCTCTTTCCCTGGGACTTCACTGGAAGCAGCTGAGTTTTCAGTCCTTTAAATTGAGTTTAATCCCATCCAGCTTTCTTTGCTTGAAATTGGCTTTTGTGTGCGCATGTATTTAGTGGGAGCGGAGGAGATGCAGTCCATTAAACTGCTCTGTTCAGGTTGCATCTGTGGAAACTCAATTTGCTGAAGTGCCAAATGTTGTCAGGGCTTTGGGGCACATCTCATGGGCCTCGTGAGGAGAGGATTAAAACCATTCTTGGGGACAGTTGGGGGGGTGCTATGAGAGAAGAGTCCTTCTTTCCCATCTCTAGAGGGATCTGGGGGACTTGATAATCACTGGTGAGTCATGATTATGCTCAGTCCTCATTGTTCACCAGAATTCCATTCCCAAGTGGCCTCTGCCCTGTTTGTTTGCCCTTGAGGACACACTGTGGACCTGGCAATGGGAGTCCAGCCATGAACAAGTCTCTTCTCCTGGAATGTCCTTTGTAGGGTCTCTAGAAAGTGCTCTCTGATGGGTTTTTCAACGGTTTCTGGGCACAGCTCTCATCTAACTGGAGCTCCCTGGGGTTTAAGAACCATGTAAGACTCTGGTTGTAGCACTAGAGAATCCTCGCAGCAGTTCTGGGTTGGGAGGAGCTGTGTTCTTCCATTTTGCAACTCAAAAACAAAAAAAAAAAAACTAAGGTTTACCCAGCTTGCACAACTAGGAGGTGCTGGAGCCCACACTCAGAGCCAGATCTATTTGAAGCTAAACCCTTAACTGCTTGATCACCATGTCTGTGTCATTAAGTGAGGAACCAGCTGGGGATGTAAGCACTTGGGTTTAGTGGTATCATCATCCCCATTTTCTCCTGATTCCTCCAGGACAGAGGTTGCTGGCCTCTCCCTTGTTGAATAAGTTCTTGAGAGAGATTCTCAATTTGGTAGAGAAATATATACTTTTTAAAAGTCCCCCCCACTTTCAGTCCTCAAACCCTTTGTCCACTTTTCTTACTGATTTATAGAAGCTCTTTGTATATTTGGGACATCAGTTTGTCATCTGCTACAAATGTCTCTCTCTCCTAGTACTACTGAGATAAACCCACATACTCCTCACTCTGGCTTAGAGCCACTGGCCCCAGGGGACAGAGTATTCCTAGGTGTTGATGACGCAAGAGCCAGGCATGGGGACTGCAGAACTCAGACCTAGCTCTTCCTCATCACTGTGTTCTACAGTCCCATTGGCACATGGCCTTGCCCTGATGTCTTGTCTGCCATTGTTTTTCAGTGACAGCTTGGTAGGCCACACCCTTCTGGCATTTTCCCTTGTCTGTTCTTCCTTTATTCAAGATAAGTGGCTGTTTCCTCCCTACTGCCGACTCCTTGTAGACGTGTTCTAAATCCTTTTTGTCACAAAGAATTTGCAGGTGTCAAATTAATATCCTTGACACTAGAATAGAAATCCTTCTATTAACTACAGATCCAATTACTAATTTTTTATCATTTTTTTTAATTTTTAATAACTACATGATTAGAAGAAGCATTTCAGTACAGCTTTAACATATTCAGTGACACACTCCAGAGCAAGAGTACATCTCTTTCACAAGTGGATGCAATTTTCTAAGTTCACAGTTGAATT